CTCTCCTCTATGGAGTTCATTGAGCTTCTTGGGTAGAAACCTTCTCATCTTTCATGATTATTTAGGAAGTTCTCTGTACTTTTTGCCTCCTCCTTTTCTGGAATTCCTATTACATGTAAATTATTCCTCTTGATTATTCCAACATAACTTTCAGGCTTTCTTCATTTTTTAAAAAAAATTTTTTCTGATTGTTCTGTAAACAAATAAGTATCTAGGGATTTTTCCTCAATTTTGCTGGTTCTTTCTTCCATTGATTCAATTCTACTTCTATTCATTCCATAGAGTTATCCATTTCTAATATTTTATTGTTAATCTTCTAGATTACTAATTGGTGTTTTTGTGTGGTTTCTAATTGTTTATTTAATGTCTCCTTTTGTTCGTATGTTGTTTTCCTGAATTCTTCAAGGGTTTCTTTTTCTTTCTGTTTTCTCCTTGATTTCTTTGAGAAGCCTATATATAAGTCTTGAATTCATTTTAAGGTAATTCTGTGGTTAGCATTTCTTCCTCAGGGGGTGGGGTGTTGTGTCCCTTTATTTTGCTTACTTGTTTGAGCAATCATCGCCTGTTTCTTCATATGATTTATTATTGTCTGCTCTCTCCAAGGCATTAAGGTGTTAATTAATTAATTAATTAATATTTTTAATTGATGTTTTGTCCTAATTTCTTTTTTTTAATTTGATATACCAAGAGCTTTGTTTCTTCTCTTTGTCTTTAGAATGCCTTTCTTTATTTGTATTATTTCAATTGTTGTTGTTTTGTAGTACTGGTTTATGTGTGACTTTGATGGTATTGGTTGACTGTGTGTGATTTCCTCTCACTAGTGCATATTGTGTGTCACATTGATGTTTAAGTCCTTTATGGTTTGGCTTATAGGTCTTCTGTTATGGGATTGAGTGGAGGTGGGAGATCAGGTTCTTTCTCTGATATTAGATGATAAGTGTTGGTGGTCAGGGTACTCCACAGCCCTTGTGGGACCATGAGGTCCTTGGTTGGTCTAGCTGTTAGTACATCCTCTGGAGGTCAAGGTAGGACATCTCTGTAGTCACTGTGAAAGAGTGCTGCACAAAAGGATGGGATTGGCCCTCTGTGCATGCACAAAATGGCATCTGAGTAAGTAATGGGGAAATAAAGAGGTTTCAGTGCATGTGCACTTGGCTTTCCAGTCTGTATGGGTGTGGAATATGTGATGTTGTAGTGTGGCAGATTTTGGATGAGGACACTGGAATCTCCTGCTTGTTGTTTGGCAGAGGTGCAGAGGATGCCTTTTGGGATGTAATGGACAGTGCTGATGAGGTGATGTGCCTGTTTGGCTAGTTGTTGGGAGTGGATGAAAGGAGCATTCTTGCTGGTCAGTAGATAATGGCCACTTGCTTCATTCCAAGTTTGTCTACACAGGATCTCTCTTACTCTTTGGAACTCTGTGAATTTGCCTTCCTATGCTCCTCATTTGAGAATGCTGCTCAATTTTTCTCAAGATGGCCATGATGCACAAGGCCAGCTGGCAGGGTACCTATGATCTGTAAATCACCTCATTTGCTGTTTTTGTTCAATTTCTCTTTCCATTCAGTGTTCATCCTCATTCTTCATCCTTCTTTTTGGTATCTCATATATATATGTATGTATCTGTTTCACTTGTTTTCTTTGGCCTTTGCTAGTGTGTCTGAGTAAGCCATCATTTTGGGCCATATCCTTTCCACTAATGTATATGTATTTACTTCTCTCCCATTACCACACAATCTTATTTACCATAGCCATATATTAAGTAATGAAATTGGGAATGTGATTCCTCCCACTTTATTCTTCTTTTTCAAAATTGTTTGAGCTATTCTCTTTTACTTTTCAATATAAATTTTAGAATAATTCTGTTTATAACTAAAAAGCCTTGCACGAGTTTGAATTAAACCTATATATCAATTTTAAGGGAATTAATATCTTCACTATGTTGAGTCTTCTGATCCATGAACATGATATATCTTTCTATTCACTGAGTTTCTTTGAAATCTTTCATCAATATTTTGTAGTTTCAGCATACATATCTTGTTAGATTTATACCTATTCAATTTTCCAAACAGTTGGTATATTAAATTTTAAATTTTGGTTTCCACATATTCACTGCTGTTGTTGTTGTTAAGTGCTATTGAGTTGGCTCTGACTCATAGTAAACCTATGTACAACAGAACAAAACATTCATTGCTATTATATATTCATTACTAGTATATAGAAATACTTTTTTTTTTTTTTTTAATATTGACCCTGTATCTTGAGACCTCACTGAACAGACTTATTAGTACCTGGATTTTTTTTTTTTTTTTTGGTAGATTCCTTGGGACTTCTACATAGACTCTCATGTCATATCATGACCCATGACATTTAGTTCATATGCATTTAGGAGCTCTGGTAGCATAGTGCCTATGGCACTTGACTGCTAACCAGAAGGCTGGCGGTTCAAACCCACCAGCCACTCCTCGGAAGGAAGGTTGGGCAATCCTACTTCCGTAGTGATACCGCCTCAGAAACCCAAGGAGGGGTAGCTATGAGTCAGGGCCGACTCGACGGCATATAATAACAACAACAAATGGCAAATTGGGATAGTTTTATTTCTTCCTTTCCAATTGGTATGTCTTTTTATTTTACTGGTTAGAACTTCCAGTACTCTTTTGAATAGCAGTAGTGAGAGTGGCCATCATTGCGTTGTTCCTGATCTTTGGTCCTGTTGGTTGATGGTGTTCTATATCCTTGCTGATTTACTGTGTAGTGGTTATATCATTTGTTTAGAGATGGCCTTTGAAATCTTCGACCATAATTTTGGATTTATCTATTTGTCCATTTGGGTTTATCAGTTTTTAAACATGTTTTGCTTTTCTGTTGTTTGATCTTTACATATTTAGGATTGCAGTGTCTTCTTGGTGGATTTACCTTTTTAATGTTATGGAATGCCACTCTCTGTCTCTGGTAACCTTTTATTAGCTTTGAACTTTACTTTATTTGATATTAACATAGTCACCCTTGTTTTCTTTTGATTAATGTTTTCATGGCAATTTTTTTCCATCATTTTGCTATCAATCTACCTATATCATTATTTTAGGAGTGAATTTCTCTCGGAGAAAGCATAGAGTTGGATTACTACTTTTAAATCTACTCTACCGATATCTGTCTTTTAATTGTTGTGTTTAGATCATTTTCACTTAATATAATTATTGATGTGTTAGGGCTTAAGTATGCCCTAAATGTATGTGTATGTGTGTGTGTGTATAAACATATATATATATATGTTTATACACACACACACACACACATTTTTCTGTTTTTATCTCCGTTTTCTTTTCCATGCATTCCTGTGGGTTAGTTAATGTTTTTTAGAATTTTATTTTTATTTATCTACAGTGTTTTTGGTAGCATAGTGCCTAAGGCATTTGACTGCTAACCAGAAGGCGGGTGGTTCGAACCCACCAGCCACTCCTTGGAAGGAAGGTTGGGCAATCTACTTCTGTAGTGATACTGCCTCAGAAACCCAAGTAGGGGTCACTATGAGTTGTGTCTTATTCAGTGGCACATAACAACAACAACAATAGTGTTTTTGAGTGTACCTCTTTGTTTAGAATTTTTCAGTGTCTCTTAAAATGCTATGGAGCATAGAGAAATATTTCAGAAGGAAGGTATAACATAAATAAAGAACAAAAGTAAACATAAAGTTGTAAATATCATAACTTTATTTAACATACAAACATTATGTGTCTTTTAATTCCCTTCCCTTCTTTCTCCTACTCGCCTCTCTCTTCATAAGCCTTTATTCTTCATTTCTGGAGAAGTCCGTGTGATGAAGTATGTATGTTTTCATTTCTCAAGCATTTCTTTGTTCAGATTCTAAACAATGTAAGAAAAAGTATAAATATTAGGAAAATGTAATGATGAATTGAAGGAGAAATTTTTCAATTATAAATATTTTCACTAATAAAATGTTATTTATTTTTCATGATAGGGATCTTCTGATATTCTACAGGTTTTAAAGTGAAGAAGTGACATTCTCACAGCAAATACTGTATCATTAAAAATAAACCCTGTCAACCAGCCTGGAGGAAGCTCTTATACATCACATCTCTCATGCTGTGCTATATGGATAATTAAAGTGACATGTTACTTGACCTTAACTAGTTTAAGTTTAGAAATATCCTAGAACAACTATGAATGACAAATATAGGATATTATCACTGAGTCTAAAAGGTAAGCTAATTAGATGATTTGATTTTTAAATATAGCAAGTTCCTGGATTCATTCTTAAACAAGTCACCAACACACTGGTAATTATACTTTACTCCTCACCCCCACCCCCAATTAAGAAATTCTACAATACACTTGAAATAGTTCATTCAATTCATAAATGATATATCAGGGGATTTTATAATATGTTAAGGATACACTCATCTTAAGCAGTCTTATGCAGAGAACTGAAAACCTTATTTTTCTTCTTGTATTCTTCTCTTCTGCAAAATGGGCATGGGGGCAGCATCCTCTGACCTCCTCTAACTTTACAAGGGGGAGAGAGAGGGATCAACAGCCCAAGGCTGATTCCTATGAGGTAAAAGTCAGACATGCTGCCACCCCCGTCTCTTCTCACTTGATGGCAGTAAGATCCCTCCTCTCTGCCTCTGGCAGGGCTCGTTTTAAGCCTAGCAGAATGGTAAAATTGACCAATCTCCATATTAGGGTTCCATATACCTTATTTGCATGGATCTTCCCCCACAAGGGCATGTACCTTATTTACATTACTAACAAGCTATCCAATTCCTTTGGTGCTTGTGAGGCCATAAAGCACCTCACATTTACATAGTTACACCTAGTCATCTGGTGGGAGTCACAAAGACCATGGCCAGAAGAGCCAAACTGAGTAATTCACTGAACCACACCTTCCATCCTTTCCTCCCTCTTTCCTTCCTCCCTCCCTCCGCCCTCCCTTCCTCCCTTCCTTGCTTTGTTTCTATGTTGGCACTGCATTTTATTATTTATACTTTACCAGCACTGCAGGGGGCACTGTACTCTTCAATGGTGAATTCATCTGAAACACAAAAAAGAAGGGCATCGTGAGAAAAGAACGAAGACTTTCAGTAATAGGTGCCTAAGCAGTTAATTATCAATTGTGTAAATTAAGTAAGGTAGTAGTGCTCTGACATAGAAAGCAGAGCTATGGAGCCAATAAAAATTACTTACTTTAATACTAAGCCATTTAGGATTGGGGGAAGGGACCAAGAGTGAAAACTGAGCTTGAGTACAGAATTGAGGGACAGGTTACACAGATGGTGTGCACGTGTCTATCCATAGGAATCCCTCTAGCCTAGTTTATCAGCCTCATTTTTCTCTTGTTGCAATTTATACCTTCCTCTTAAACTGTTCTTTGATGCAAGAAGGAGATAATAAGTTTTAATGCTACCAGCATGATATGATGTACTGGTTTGAAGTCATGAGTAAATGGAAGAATTGACTGATAGGTTAGAAAGTTTTCCAAATTTTGTGAGGCTATCCAAAGCACACAGTGGCTGCAACAATGGGCTCAAACTTGGCAATAATTGTAAAGATGGTGCAGGACAGAATAGTGTTTCATTCTGTTGAAAACAGGGTGTCTATGAGTTAGAACCAACTGAACAGCATCTAACAACAACAATCCAAAAGCACAAGTCAAAAATAAATAACAATTTAGGTCTCATATCACACATCAGTGCTACAATGTAGTCTTTTAGTTATTGGTGCTATTCTTATCTTTTGGGAATCATTCAACCCAAATCAAACAATTTTATAGGGGAATTTAGACAGAATCTATTGCCTATTGCTTTATTATCAGTTTGTAAAAATTGTTCTAAGAACTTTTTAGGAGATAGATGATAGGCTAATATACAAGAATATAATTACTCAGTGACTATAAACACATAGGGTGCTCTGGTGGCATAGTGCCTAAGGCATTTGACTGCTAACCAGAAGGCTGGAGGTTCACACCCACTAGTCACTCCTCAGAAGGAAGATTGGGCAATCCACTTCTGTAGTGATACTGCCTCAGGAACACAAGTAAGGGTCACTATGAGTGGGATCTGACTCGGCAGTGAGGTTTTTTTTTTAGGGGGGGGTTTGTTTATAAACACACAATTTCTTCAAGTGAAATAGTGTGGAGCTTTGGTTTCAGAGAAGGTAGTCCTTTAACTGTGTTGGTCACTTGTTCTTTTATAAAGCTCAGCATAGCTGAGGCTTACTTACCTGTCTCATAGTAATCATAGGTTTTGACTGTAGCTGGTTTTAAATTCTGCACTTGGATGTCTTGTTCCACTAAGAAGGAGAAACTTAGGCTTTGATTGGTTAACTGAAGAGACAGGAAAACTGAATTAGAATAAAAGATTGACTTAATTTCTAGTTACCATTTTCTCATATTAAGATATTACCAAGCCCTGCCATCCAACCAAAACCTACAGAAATAATGGGTCATTTTGAGACTTATGTAACACACTCAATGGCAGGTCAAATAAAAAAAGAAATAAGGACAAAAAATAGTCACATATAGTTGACCAGTACAGACCCTTTTACCCTTTGTGGCCATTTTTTCCTCCCCTACCTAGACATCTGAAAAGCCCTGTTTGGTATCTGGATTGAATTTTTAGAGTCTCTAGTAGGTTGGGCAATCCTACTTCCGTAATGATACTGCCTCGGGAACCCAAGGAGAGATCACTATGAGTCAGGGCCGAGTGGATGGCAAACAGCAACAACAACAGTAGTTCTTCCAGATATGGTACTGAGTCACAGAGAATCTTACCTTTTCAAAGTAAATCAGGACATGGTTGGTGCTCACTTCAGTCCTTGGAATCTCGGGCCTTTCACGGAGCTGTTGACCAAGAACATAGCCAGAAATTTTAGGCTGAGAGTAGTTTTCAAGTATTTATAATTTAAATGGCTGCTGAGAAGCATCCAAACTGCTAATATTGTTTTCTTCAGGAAAATAGTAATAATGATGATGATATTTATTGAACCCTTAGTGTGTTCCTAGTCACTATTTCAATTGTGTTTACATGTATTAAATTATACAATAATCACATCAACCCTTTAAGATAGGTACTATAATTATCTTCTTTTTTGGATGAGAAAATGATTACAAAGAGATTAATTTGTCCATTATTAAATTGCTATAAGTAACAAAGCTGGATATCACTCAGGTTGTCCAATTTCAGAGACCACTCTCTTAACCACTAAGATTTCAAATTTGATTAACCACTAGGAATTGGAAATTTCACCAACATTCTTTCAAATACCACAAAGTAGACAGTTTATAGCTTTCCTCATATATATTTTTGCTGTGTTTGACCAGTAGGAAGAAAAAAAAAAGTGCTTTTTCACTTAACAGCTCAAAGGGACTAAAAGTGAATAAATTGTACCATTTGTGTTGGTGTTGGTTGGAACAGTTATTTGTGTAGTAATGTGTGAGGGCCTCTCTAAAAGAAAGGTTCAAAGGACTGAATCCCAAAAATAAGAAAGAATTTAGAATTATATTTTAAGGGGGAATTTTAACTAGGAGAAATAATTATCATATGCAGTTGCTATTTGTCATTTGTTATGTGCTACAAATGTAATTTACATTTCATTTTTAAACTCATTATGTCACATGTCCTTTTTTTTTTTTTTTTTTAATAACATCTCTCTTCCCACTTCCTCCTTGTGGTTACCTTTTCCCTGTGTCCTTCTTTCCTATGCATTCCTGACCTCTGAGCTATCTCCCAGTACAAACACTGCCCTTCTGATTTCCTATGATTGATTTTTCTATGGATTGCACCTCCCTTGTGCAAATGTTCATCTTATATGCCTGTCTATTGTTTGTCTGGAAGCCATAGGAGTGAGTTCAATTCTAGCCCAAAGGGTGACTAGTATCCCTTTGTCTCAGGGATTCTGGTAGTCTCTATCAGTAAGCCTGATCTTTTTTATGATTTTGAGTTTTGTTCTCCAACTCTATCCAGGATTTCTTATTTTGATCCCTTTCCAAGTGATTGGCAGTGGTAGCTAGGTACTATCTGGTTCTTCTGGTCTCAGGGTCATGTAGGCTGAGGTTTGTATGGTCCACTACTTCCTTGGACTAATTGTTATCATGCATCTTTAGTTTCCTTCATTCTTCTTTGCTCCAGACAGGAGAGACCAATTGTTGCGTCTTAGATGGCTGCTTGCAAGCTTTTAAGACCCCAGTTGCTACTCACCAAAGTAGGATATAGAAGAATCTTTTTGTGTAGTATGTTATGTCAACTGAGCTTGATGTCCCCTGTGACTATGGTCCTGAGCCTATGGGCCTAGTGATTCACTCCCTAAAGGTATTTGACTATCGCTAATTTTTTTTTTTAAATTATTAGGTTATCATAACTTTGCCCCATTAGCTCTATTATATATATGAACATTCTTATAGCACATACAAATATGTATGTAGAAATATCATCTGTCAAACTTACATATGCTCATGAGTATATTCCCTTTTGCCTAGACATACCTGATCATTTCACTTTCAGCTCAAATTTACTTTAATTTAAATAGGTTAGTAGTTGAGGATTTAACTGTTTGTGCCACCTAGCATCTCCATATAACCATGATATTCAGTACTAAAATGATGGAACACACTCTACTTAAATATGCAGGTTTGAGGAAGTAAATATCTGGAAAATTGCATAAAAACATAAAATGACAACCATAAATGTCAGCATTTGTCTTAACTTATCAATAAGGGATTCAGAGTTTACCTTTTTCACTGATGATTTCACAGGTATGAAGCCTGATACCATCTTCACATCAACAATGGCCATGTTAGAACTGGGTCTCTCCCCAGTATAACTAGGAAGTCAAGGTATACATATTAGTACTTAAAAAAATCTGTAGGAATTCATTCAAGACAGAAATTTCCCCTTATCCTTTATTTCTAGTGTTTCCTATCTCTGACTACCACTCAGTTTCTATATTTTCTCTATTCACTTTCATTATGGTTGTTTGGAAAAACCACTGTTCTTTCTCACTCTCTGGAAGTATGGCAATATCCTATTCTTAATGTTAAATTTCTCAATAAAAGTAAAGTTTCCTGTTAATAAATACTGCAGGTGTTCCATATTCATTATGTATGCCTTTAGACAGTGGAGTTACCCCACACAAGACAATCATTTTCCCCACATTATACGAAAGGTCTGGTACTGATGAATGAATGATTTACCTAATGTTGATATGAATCTGGAATTTCTTGTGAGCAGCTACTCCATCACAATTCTTGGGAAGAGTATCAACCTTCAGAGTGAAGGGAGCTTTCTGTTCTTTCTTGGGCAGGACATTATATCTCAGGGATGTCTAAGATGAATTGAAAGAAAATTCTTTATCTTAGCACTCAGATAGTCTCACAGTCTCTTCCAGGTGTTTTACATTTCCTCTTAGCACCAATTTCTCTTTCTACTTTGAAATTCACATTTCATTCTGAGACTTTCTCTTCCATTTCCAGAATCCCCTTGGGGTTCTCCCTGACAGTCTCACCTGGAGGTACACACAGCCTGTTCCTGACACTGTGGTGCTGTACTCCCCTGGAATCTCTGGCAGTTGGACCTCCTGCAGCAATAGGCTGTTGGCATCGTCTACTTGAAATTCTTTAGAAAAGGTCCCTGAAGACTTGACTGTGACTGTAGCTGCTTTCTCACTTTTAGAGAAAGTCTGTGCTCCATATTTGGAGAGGGCTTGCAGAGCTACCACTGTGTCCTGGAAAAAGGTGGGTGCAGAAATTACAGGAGAATAAACTATCAAAATTATACTGCATGTAAACCATATCCACACAACCCTCTTTCAGATGTATTCAATCCAAATCACAGTCCTTAAACTGAATTTCAATTTAATTCAGATCTGGTTATTAACCATGCACTATTCTAAGTGTGTTAGGGGTAAAAGCAAAATTTTCTTCATTCAAGCAAATTAAAATATGCATATGGAGATTAGATTTAAGTATTTGACACAAGCAGGGGGTATTTCAATAATTTACAAATTTATACAATAATTTTTTTTGTAAAAATTCAGAGAAAGGAGAAGAAAATATATAATAAAATAGTAAGAGAAGACTGCAAAGAAGGTGAGAAGTAACATTAGCTTTGAATAATGGGAAAGGTTTATATATAGAGAAGAGAGGTATATGGGGGTCTAGGGTAGAGAATGCTTTAACTGAAAATATAAAATCACAGTGAGCCAATTCCAGAACAGTGAGAGGATCAGCCCAACTGGATAAAAGTGTTCATGTTTACTGGGAACAGGAAATATTTTGGGCAAAATATTAGCTAATTTTAGACCTTGGATAAAAAAATGTATTTATATCAGGGAAGTTATCTGTATGAAAACATTGCTTTAGGAAAATTTCTCTACCTTTACTGTTGGGAATCCACTAAGGAGGGAAGATAGGAAAGAGTTTAACGAGAACAGAACCCATATACAAACTTATAAGGCTGGGACTTGGCTGGTGATGGAGGAATGCAGAAGGTGTAAATTAGAAACACCAAGTACTCAAATATTCATCTCCTAAAATATGTTGTTGTTGTTGTTATGTGCTGTCAAGTCGGACCCGACTAATAGCGACCCCTCCTTGGGTTTCCAAGGCAGTATCACTACAAAAGTAGATTGCCCAACCTTCCTTCCGAGGAGTTGCTGGGGGGTTTGAACCGCCAGCCTTCTGGTCAGCAGTCAAGTGACTTAGTACTATGCTACCAGAGCTCCTAAAATATGTAGTCTCTATGTATCAATATATTTCTTTTTCCCCAAGAGTCACTCTACAGACCTGAGTGGATGAGAAGCCCCCCTGGGGATTTTGTTGCTTGGTGATCCATTTCACAATTCGTGATGCCACAGACAGGTTCGCTGAAGATGGGGCAGGTTGGACAGTAAGGTAGGCAAGTAGTATGTAGGACGTCATCTCCACTTCAGCAGAAGGAGCCCGGGGTTGATAATAAAGTGGTTTAGCTTCTTGAAGTTTCCCAGGACGTTCCCAGTGGATTGAATCCTCTTTGAAATGGTAAAGAGTAGGATTTTTAGCTTAGAAAATGGTATGGAAACCAAAGTTTATTATTGGTTACCAGAAGTGGGTGGGAGGAAGGGGTAAAGAAGGACTCAATGCTTTGGGGACACTGAGCTTCAGTTAAAGGTGATAATAAAATTTGGGAACAGATAAGCGTATTGGTTGAACAACATGATGAATGTTACATCACTGAACTGTACTTGTGAAGATAGGTGAAGTGTCAGATATGTTATGTCACTGAACTGTACTTGTGAAGATGGTTGAAACATCAGATGTTTTGTTACATATATATTTACCACAATAAAAAGCATCACAGCTCTGCCTCCCCCATAAAATCTAACTCATGAATGATCAGTATAAGTAGAAGTCACCTAATGGGTTAACATAAATGATGTGGAAGCATTAAATAGTTACCAGTCAAACAAATATTTGCCAAGAGATAATGTTCCAGTTAGTCACACTATGTCTTGTGTCTCCTACACACTTGTGTGAAAAAGTATGATCTATATAGGGTCTCTGATGTGTGAGTTAATAAAATGGACCATGTTACCTAGAGAATTTAAGTGTTACATAAATTATAATTATTCCTATTATCATTATGATAAAGGTAGTATGAAAGCTACTCAGTAGATCCTCTTTCCTTTTTTGATCACTGGTGATTGTTGGAGTTAAATTTTTCTGTAGTAGCTCTTACCTTCTTTTACAGCATCTCTGTCTAGTGATTTAAGTAGCTCATTTCGCATAGCCTGGTTTCCTGCTAGGGCAAAGGCGTAGGCTAATAAGGCCTTTGTGTAGACAAGACTCCCTTGGGCTTCTGAGGTGGCTCTCCAGGCCATTTCCAGACAGAATAGAGCATTGCGGACAACTGGGTGCTATGAGAAAGATGAAAGGAGAACCTAAGACATCAGAAGCAGGCTAATGAATAGTCCCCAGGGAAACCCAGATTAGAAGCCACAGTATGCCTTTTTATTATCACAGTTCTGACCAGAGGAGTTTTCCCTGTGGTTTCCAAAAGAAACTAGTTTCTCTATATTCCAGTGAAGTATTCTAAAATTAAGTATCATGAAACCTACAACTCATTTTCCTCAGAGATGAATAGTGTCATGCTTTTTACTTCTTACGTTTGTGAGGGATGTACAGGGAATGTGTTAGTACATACGTTGACGGACAGTGGCATCTCCAGCAAAGCGATGGTGATGTAGGCAGAGAGTGTCACCTCATCGTCTACTCCACCCTGTAATGTTCAGAGACAGAGATACTAACACTTTAACAATTTTTAACCAAAGTCTGCCAACTTTGCTTTTCCTCTTGGGCAACTTCACTATTGTTAGTTGCCATTGAGTTGGCTCCAACTCATGGTAACCTTATGTACAACAGAATTAAGCTTTTACTAGCCTTTCTTTTATTTTGTTTAGTTTATTTTGTGACATTGTTGATTTCCTTCTTTAATCTAAAATTCTCAGATCTGTCCCAAATCACCTTCTCTCACTTTTAATGGTATATAT